GTCTCATACTCTTCATCTACACTGGGAGTCCTTGAGTAAAGTTTCCTGGTAACACCGAAATTGATCTTTGAAAACCACTTATACCAGAGATATAGACCATCTAAACATGTAGAGGATTTATCCAGTATAAGCGATATTAGTAGCTGCAGCTACTCATATGTATGAGATGAAAGTGAAAATAGTTGAGACTGGAAATGCATTCATTTCAATGCAGTCTCCAGTGAACAATATCATTTTTTTCTAGGATGACACATATAGATACATGTGCACAAAAAAAGAATAAGCATTATATAGATAATTAAACTGTTAACTGTTCAATTCAACTGAAGTAAATTTTAGTGTCATCAGTCCTTTCTGGAATTAGTTTTACATGCCATTTGTTCAGTGGCAGACTTTGTAGACGTATTAGCGAGCGATATTTCCATATTAACCATAAAATACCAACAACAATACAGCATCCTACTTCAATACAATATGTCATGTTCAGTTATTACAAATGTGAACAATTACAACAATTTTCTTTTCTTCACCATTTTACCGTTTATTAATTGTGCCAACAGACAAAATTTCTATCTCAAGCAGCTCAAGAAAAATTAATTATGATTGTAACTATGCGCAAGTCTTTTAAGTTTGTAGTTATTTCGAATAATATTTTCATGTATTTTGTATTCGCTAACACCATTTTTAATGTATACATAATATTCAAATAATCGTATAGGCATCAATTTCTATTTTACACGTTCCGTTGTTAAATGATATACACTGATTTTTATTCTCATCAGTATTACAAGACATATTTTGTTGTTTATGAATAATACACGTTTTCCATGTCAAATAATTTGCTGCATACATTAATGATGTTCTCGTTAGACTTAGTCCCATATTTGCTATTGTGGCTAATAATGTCATATACGTTCCACCTATATGAGTATCGCTTATTTTTGCATTAAATGCTACTTTCGCTACTATCATACTAGAAATGAATGTTTCATTTATACCAAATAGAATATTTGCAATTAAATAATAATACCACTGAAATGGTTGAAAAACTGGTGTTACATAGACAAATATAGCAATCAAAATACTTGTAAATAATCGTGGAATATAGCAATAAATGTAAACACTTAATGGTTTTGAACCACTAGTCCAATGACTTATACACAATGGTATAAATATTTTAATAAGTATCAATGGTGTAAACATTAAAGTTAATAATTCTTGTTTAACACCCATTTCAATTAGTTTTAAATTTGTCATAAAATTTGTTGCAGCAAAACCAATTTCTTGTGTTAATAAAATAAATGTTAACTCACGTATACAAGGTTTTTTGAATAGTTTAAACATGGCTAAATATGTTTCAACAAGACTATAATTATTCGTTCTTTTGTTATCATCATCATCATCCTCATCATTTTTGTGTGATTTCTCATTTTTAAATAGGGCAATCAATAATGTTATGATAATAAATGTACTACCCCAAAAAAGAAGAAAATTTGAAAATGATATTATACCAGAAGGTTTTTCTATAATAGAAAATAATTTTCGAATATACTTATTACTATATTCTATTGATTCGAATGTTAAAAATAACACATGACCAATAAATATTCCTATTGTTTGTCCCACTGTTTGACATGTTGATGCCCATCCAATATTTTCATTTGATAACAATGATAATGCCCAACCATCAACACAAATATCTTGTGAAGCAGTTAAAAAATATAAGAAAATCCAACTAATAGTTAAAACAAGTATATTTTTAGTATTTAACAATGATGATATATAGAATGAGAGTAGTATCATTATTAAACCAATTAATAACTGAATAGGCAATAACCATGTTTTTCGTCGTCCAAAACGTTTAATATATAACGAATCAATAATGGGCGCCCATAATAATTTTATACTAAATGGCCAATGTACAAAACTAAATGTTCCTTGTTGTTTCCAGCTAACACCTTTCGATTGTAATATTAGTGGTATACTAACCGTGATACCAATAATAACTCCTTGCATTAAATATAATACCATTAATAGAAAAATACTGGATATATCTCGTTTCCAATTTGGTTTAATATGAACTTTGTTATTTATTTCGTTTTCATCTTCTTCTTCTTGTCTTGTCATCATATCTTCAAAGACAAAGTCTATACAAAGAATCATAAATTAAAGGTGACCCTAGTAACTATAGGAACATTTATCTTACAAATCCCCTCCCGAAATAAAAGACTATTTCCATAATAGAAAACAATTTCCCTCTTAGAAGACCACTTTGGCGAAAATTAAAAATTGCCCAGGGCATTTCTTACGTTTTTTCGAACACAATAGAGGATCACTGATCTTCTATTCTAGGGGAGGTGGAGGCATTATTCCTAAACAAAAAACGTGTACAACTATTTCATGCTAAAAGGAAGAAAAAATGTATCTAAACAGTTGTAAAAAAATGTAAAAAAATAGCCATAAATAGTTTATCCATTAGCAGCATTCAAGTTATCATAATTTTAGAATCATATTATGATAGAGCCAGAAACGAGTCAGGAATCGATTCAACGTTTCTGAAATCAAGTTCGGTTCTATTCGACCCGAGACAAGTGCTCAGAATCCCAAATCGATTTGAGTTAACTTAACATTTCGGATATCAAATTCGGTTCGATTCAGTTTGGTTTTTTACCGAATTATTCGATGCATATCGGACTTACGAGGAAACCATCTCAACTGTCTGATCGCTTTTTCCACGAAACCTAGTGGACAATAGATAATCAAGTGTATCCGAATATCATAGTGGTTTGGGCGTCTAGGCCTCCAGGGCTTTTCTTGTAAATTTTCTAACTTTGCAAAGAAAGGTCGCATAGAGCTGGGAGATGTCTCATTTGAATCAGAAATGTGCGGGCTACAATTACGCCTCATTAAGAAAGGTTTTGGTTATCTTTTAGAATTTCTGAAAAACTGGTTTTCCAGAAAACCGGTCTCTTGGGGTCTAGACGCCCAAACCACTATGATATTCGGATTCAGCACACTCGATTACCTATTGTCCACTAGGTTTGGTGAAAAAAGCGATTGAAGAGTTGAAGTGGTTTCCTCGTCAGTTTTGCAGTAATGTAAATGAAATGCAGATTCTTCTCGAATAATCTCTACATAAAAGATTTCATATATTCAAATGAAAAAAAAGAAAGAAATATCACAGAGCTACAAACACTGATAATCTAATAGATCACGAAAAAGTTTTACAAATACAAATCTATATTCTGTTAGAATTTTATTTTTCGGAAAGTTTCTTTTAGACTGATGAATTTTTTCTGTAGCAATATTGCTATCCATTAACTCCCTATGTACACGTAGTACAGAGAATGACGTGTATATTATAAATATGCATTATAATCTAATCTAAAGATCGAAGAAAAAGAAACAGACGCGTCTATGGGTGCATTGTTAGCTTTAACATACTACTTCGATTAAATTTTTTTTGAAACATGAAATTGTTCCAAAATCTTTTTTTTTGTAAATAATTCCTAAGGATCACAAAAATATGACTTTTCACACCACCACTATCTCTGGGCACTTAAATGAGGTCCAGAACGGTTTTCTAGGTAAAAATCGAATCTTTTGCGAAAAAGCTTAAAATATGGTTTCAAATGGATTTAAGTGTGCTCTTTCAAACAGAATCTCTCTCAACTCTCAGAAACCATTTTTTTCCGAAGTTGTAAATTCTACTTTTAAACTTGTAAATTGACTTTATACAATAAGTTTATTATGTTAAAGTTGTACATTTGCATATCGTAAGTGTATACATGTTTTGAAATAAAATTAGTCCGAAATATATTTTATTCAATCTCAAAAATGATGTCAGTTTTCTTTATATAAAATATCTTTTCGAATTGACTAGATTACTAATGACTTCAAAATCGAACTTAAATAAACTTAGTTTGACAACGAAATTTATATTATGAAGAGAAAATATGTTTAAATAGAATCCTCTTTTTTTTTCGATTGCGAATGAATTTCAGTTGAAATCGTATCTTTCCATATCAAGAAGGGCTTCCCGAATGTGAAGGATATCGTTTAACTTGACTATTTTGGATGTCAACTTCTTTTTTGTGATGGCATACTATGATTTTTTTTTTATAGGGCAAGAATGAAATTTTGATGGGAAGTAATTTTCTTATTACTTTTAGAAAAACATCTGCGAGATAAGACGTAATGTAACTCTAGTCAAATTTTAAACCAAACTAAATAAAATCACAGTGGGTGAATTGTAGTGATACTATGACGCTTAGTAGGTAAAAAAAGACCGATACACTGATGTGACGATTTTATAGACATTTCTGAATTTGTATAGAAAAATAATAATACGCAATATTTACTATCTGATAAGTAGTTAAGTATTCATATTTTGTGAATAAATAAAGATTATCAACACCTGTTTCACTCCTTTGACAAATAAATACAAATCAAGTTAACCCTTTGAGTTTCATAGTAGCAAAAAAGTTACGCATGTTTTATAATTATTTTTCACAACTTAATTTATAAAAATTAGTATGTAATCTATGGGAATGAAGCAATGGAGCATTACCTAATAAATAGCTACTGCACTTATGTGGCACTGTCTATAAAATAAACTAAGAGAAAACGATTTTATTAAATCAAATATATTTAATTTATCTAAGAATCATATAAGTCTTCATTTCCATTCTATTTTTAATGGTTCGAACTACCATTTACATCCCATTATATTTGCTAAAGTGTCAGCTTCAAAAGTATAACTCGCTTTTTTTCAAATTTTGTTTCATTGCTGAGAAAATTCGTTTTTTCTAAATCAGTAGCGAAAAAGTCGAAATTCTGTCCATAGTTTTCAATTTTCTCGATCAGAACTCAACTTCTATATAATAAAAATATCATATTTAGAATTAGGATTAAAAACTCAGTCGACTGATCTGTATTTCGAAATTTTTAGCTGATTACAGTTTTGGGTGAAAATCTTGATGATTTTTCAACGTGAAAATTCGAAAAAAACTAGAGTACTCGAATAGGATAAGGATACACATCAGTCGATTCATTTTTTCATCCTGATTCCGAATATGATATTTTTACTGTATAAAAGTTGAGTTCTGGTGAAGAAAATTGAGAATTACGAATTACATTCAAACCAGCAAAAAAAATTTGGGACTCAAAGGGTTAAAATTCATACGGTCGCTTATCAGTAAAATACTATACGTTTTGTTTATTACATGTATGATGCTTACACATAAAAAAAGCGTGAAAGCGCGTTCGTTATACAAAATTTGGGTTCTAACGCGCGGAGCATTTTTATAAAAAAGCGCTGGTATACGTGTTCATACCATGTAGAATGTTAGAACACAAATTTTATATGTGAAGTGCATTAGTTAAAACATAAATGAAGCGCGCCAAATGTTACGCCAAATGTTTTTTGCAGAAAAATTGTCATTTTGAGCTGAACGTAGTCTAGTGTAGAGGAAAGTATGAGCTATACAATGAGATCACTCCCAGCTCTCCATGACCTTCCTTGAAAAAATTATGAACTTTTTAAGTTTTACGTTCAAAGCTTAGAAAATCTGCATTTTTTTGGTTCGTAAATTTTTCTATCCTTCCCTATATATTCAAAACTTTTTCTTACATATAGCATGATAGAAGAAAGTGTGCTCTTCAAAATGAGATGAATTCCAGAATTTTCCGCTCAGTTTTCTTAGAGATATAGCCGCAAATGCCCTTAAAAACAGAGCCCTGTGTACAGTATGTGTTTTTCTCACTATACGTTTTTTCAATAGTCCCTTCAATTGGTACATATTATGACCCCTCGAAAAAATGGTCCGATCGATTTTTTCGAAAAGAAAAAAAGTGAACTGGAGATAGGGTCTGAAGTATCTGTGATAAATTTTGAGCTCGATCGGACCATTTTTACGAGGGGTCATAATGTGTGCCACTGAAAACTGGAGTTTTCCAGAAAACCCATAGAAAAACACGTCAGAAAATTCTGGGCAAAATACATCGATTTTCTTTTTCGATGTTCTATCTCTGGTATAAATTAGAACCCGATGCGACATCGGCCTCCCTAGTTTCCGACAGGATAAAAAAAGAGGGGGGGAGGCCTTAATATGGGACAGCGAAAAATGATCGAAAGAAAAAAGGTCGAGCGAAAAATTGGTCACCACGAAATATGGCCGCTAGGAAATATAGTCGCTACGAAAATTAGTCGAGAAATTTGTAATAAAACAATAAAAGCTGATTTTAAAGAAAAGACCTTCATTGAGACGAATAAGTTAAACAGATACAAAAAAGAACAGCTCGAACTTACTTAGGAATCTGTTGATTACTTCAAAGGAACAGATATTCCTCTGATGTTAGTAAATTATTGGAGACTAATTTCTTGTAATATTAAAATTATCAGATTTGCAGGTTGTGTCGAGGTTATATATAGAGCTATTGCAGAAGAGTGAGCTATACTTTTCTTCTAAAATGACTACATTTACACTCAGTACAACTCAAAAGAACAAACCTTTGTCACTATGTAAAAGCTTTACTTACACCATGGATAAAACAAGTGATGATAAGACTTAATGGAAATGTGAACATGCTCGAACTCTTAAGTGTAAACGCCGAGTTCACACTAATTATATTAATACAATAATGTTATCGATTATTTTTTGTAGACCCCCTTAATATGATCATGTGCTTCCACTACCACAATTTATTATAGTATAGTCTATTATATAAATCTGAATTATAACATTGAAATGTTTTTTAACACGGATCATAATGTTGTGTTTCTCCACAGAAGATCGAATTTGTTGAACCGTATACCATATATCATCTGTTCGTTCGATTTGGACAATAGTCTGATTCAATCTTTAAAAGCAGATATGATTTTGCACCTACCAAAATAGAACATAAACTATAAATGCAGTAACATATTTTACTTACATAACAAACTGTATTTCCAGTTGTTATTTTTCGCCATGATGTTATTGATTCAAAAGTACAACCATTATCACAGAAACTGCATTTCAAAGCTAATCCGCTTGGTGAAACTATAGAGAGAAACAGAGCAAATGAAGATGTTTACGTTAAGATACTTTAGACTCATGCCTCTACCACAAAAAGTAGAGTTTGAAAAAAAAGAGGATTTTTGAATAGTTTAAATTATATAC